GGTGTAAGAAAGTGGTCTAGTTTCATTCTTCTTCATGTTGCTGTTCAGCTCTCCCAGCACCATTTGTTAAAGAGATCGTCTTTTTTCCACTGGATATTCTTTTCTGCTTTGTCAAAGATTAGTTGGCCATACTCTTGTGGGTCTAGTTCTGGGGTTTCTATTCTATTCCATTGGTCTATGTGTCTGTTGTTGTGCCAATATCATGCTGTCTTGATGGTTACAGCTTTGTAGCTGAGGCTGAAGTCTGGGATTGTGATGCCTCCCACTTTGGTCTTCTTCAATGTTACTTTGGCTATTCGGGGTCTTTTGTGGTTCCATACAAATTTTAGGATTGCTCCAAAACATTTTTTTAAACATTTATTTTATTTTTGAGAGAGAGACAGAGCACAAGTCAGGGAGAGGCACGGAATCCGAAGCAGGCTCCAGGCTCAGAGCTGTCAGCACAGAGCCCGACGTGGGGCTCAAACTCACGAACCGTGAGATCATGACCTGAGCTGAAGTCGGACACTTAACCAACTGAGCCCCCCAGGCACCCCGGAAGTCTCCATTTTAAAACCCCCCTGGCAGTCTAGAGTAGCTGATGAGTGAACAGCATCCTGCCATGTGCCTTGGTTCTTCAAAGCAACGTCATCGAGAGTCAGGCTTTGCTGTCGTGTAACTGGGTTTATGGTGGGTGATGTGTGTGAGTGGCCACTCAATTATTTTCTCTCCTCTCTGTGTACACACCCACATGCACCCACACTTTTTTCTTTACGATCACACGCGAACCACTCCTTGCTAGTTTATCCAGGCTCTGCAAGATGTGAGTTCCAATTCTGCCTCGAAACCAGACCCAGCGTGGGGCTTGCTGTCTGCCTGGCACTCCCTTGAGAAGCTGGTGGAAAACAGATTCCAGGTTACTGCAATAGCGTCGATCGTCAAAGGGCACCGTAAATAATCATCGTGTGTCTGCTGATTGAGGAGTACGCTCCACAGGATTCATCCGACGGATCCTGTCTAGCAGTTGGAATGAATGCACTAGGGCAGGGGTGACTATGGCCGTTGGGCCACAGTATGTTTGTGTGGCTCTCGAGCTGAGACTGTGTCTCAAACTTTTGTTGTGCCTGGCTGGCTCAGTTGGGTAAGCGGTGGACTCTTGGTTTTGGCTGCGGTCACGATCTTGTGGCTTGTGGGTTTGAGCCCCATGTTGGGCTCTGGGTGGACGCTGTGGAACCTGCTTGGGATGTTCTTTCTCTGCCTCTCTCTGCACCTCCGATGCGTGCACGTGCTCTCTCTCTCTGCCCCTTCTGTGACGCTCTGTCTCTCAAAATAAATAAGCTCTGAAAAATGTTTTTCACTCTTTTAAAAAGTGGTAACAAACAAAAGAGTAAGTGACAAAGATCTGATGTGGTCCACAGAGCCCAAAATATTTGCCGCCCAGCCCTTTGGGGTAAAAGTGTGCCAACCCCCAAACGAGACTAACGTAGATCGATCTTGGAAAGGTAATGTGGGGAGGAACAAAGGCAAGTCACAGAACATCGTGCTCAGTGTAATATGAATTACATAAGGTTTTACAAACTGCACAAAATAGAACTATAAGTGGTGTGTGTGTGTGTGTGTGTGTGTAGTAAATGTATAAACTAACATCTGGACACACTCTAAGTCAAGATAGTATTTTCTCTGGGGAGAGACAATAGGAAACGAAACTGGGGAGAAAAAAAAGGGAATTTCACCTTTACCTATAATATTTTATTTCTTGAATAAAAAGGAAGAAGAAAGAAGAAAAGAAAGAGAATATATTTTCTTCCATCTATCCTTCCTTCCTTCCTTCCTTCCATCCATCCATATATCCATCCATCCATCCATCCATCCATCTATCCATCCATCCATCCATCCATCCATCCAATGAGACACTTCTCATTGTAAGATGTTCTCCTTGGTTCTCCCTCCAGGATGCTGGCTCAGCACAGAGCTTTATACAGAGTAAATGTCTGATGTTGGAATGTGCAACTTCCTGTTGACCCCACTTACCACTGTCACCAGGATGTAGTAACTTCTGGGGCTTTTTTCCCTAACCATCAATTTCTCAAGTTCCTAATTCACAACCACCTGATAACTTCCTCCAAATATAAATACCAGAGCCCAAGTGGGTCTGAATGGCATTACCTGTATGTGAATGATTGCTAAGGTTTATGTTGGAGAGCATTCCATGCAAAGGAAATAAATATTTGAGACATGCATCTATTCATCTAATGCTCACATTTATATTAGTTGGCCAAACCATTCATTTGTTTAAAATAATACATCATTATAGTACAGAGATTACCACCAGTCAGTGAAAATATGCGTGCAATACGCATTTCTCTACTTTCCTACGGCCCAGGCTCCATCCATGAATTCTCATGACTGCTCTTAAAAAGGCACGATACCTTCTTTAACCTTGCAAAAGAGAATTCTGCACACTGCAGAGAGGAATGAGGCCCTGCCGGACCGAAGACCTAATGCGGTGCATTCTTATTAGCCCTAAGTTCAGTGGCGCTGGCAGGAAGTTTTTCCCATCACCCGGTCTGTGGGTTACACTGAGCGTCTTCACACATTTCTTTGGAGTGGCTGAAACCCTTTTACATGTAATACTTTCTATTATATGGACATAACCCAAGAACGAATGCTTCCTCTGGGATGAATCATGCTGACAGATATACGGGAAGCAGTGGCTTGGGGGAAGTTGTGTTTTCGTACTTGTGTGCGCCCTGGATTCGGGCTACTTACAAGCCAAACTGAAGAGAGAGGCGAGCAGGACCGAGGTCGCGCTGAAGTGCAGGGACCCCGCCGCATTGCAGTCCACTTTGGAGTTCTTGCAGGAGCATACTTGTATCCTGAGGTCTGTGACGTTCGTCATGGGCGGTTTCCCTGAGTCAGTCACCATGATGGGCAGGTGGTAGTTGGCTTTGTTCAGGTTTTGGAGGAGGCTTACCAGGGCGTGCGTATCTGTGGGGGACCAGAGGACCTTTGTAAGAGAGGGTTAGACTTCCCCGAATAAAAGAGTCGGGTTTTGGTGACTAAAACCACACCAAACAGGCATTGCACGTTGGTTTATAACCCTGGGAGTGTTTAAACTTAAATTCATTTGGGCACCTGGGTGGCTCAGTCGGTTAAGCGTCCAACTTCAGCTGAGGTCACGATCTCATGGTCCGTGGGTTTGAGCCCCGCATTGGCCTCTGTGCTGACAGCTCAGCGCCTGGGGCCTGCTTCGGATTCTGTGTCTCCTTCGCTCTCTGTCCCTCCCCTACTAACGTTCTGTCTCTCCATCTCTCTCAAAAATGAATAAACATTAAAAAAATTTTTTTAAACTTAAATTCATTAATAGCAAATAAAAATCCAAATTTGGGTTTTCAGTTGTGCCAGCCACATCTCAATTGTCCAGCAACCGCATGTCGCGAGTGGCCATAGCGTCGGGCAGCGTCGCATAGAACATTCCACCGCCAAGAAGTCCTGTGGCTCAGTGCTATTATTCTCTGTTTCAAAGGGACCCATTTTGTGGAGCTGACTGCATACCAAGAACTGCCCCCTGCAAATTTATGGTACCGATAAAACCATCTTTGCAAAGATCACATTCAACATTAAACAAACTGATGTAAAAATCCACTCTCACATCATTACACTCTACGTCTTAAATATATACAATTTTTATTTGTCAGCTCAACTCTAATAGAGCTGGAAGAAAAAAAGACAAAAAAAAAAAAAAAGAAATAATCGGCTCAGAGCATTTTTACTTAAGAATCCAAGTTCAAATAATCAAAATAAATTCTTAGACCAAAAAAACCCCCCAAAACAAAACAAAAAAACCCCAAAACTACCCAAACCCAAACTATCCATTCACTCTAAATGTGGGCAGGACCCACATGTATTGCCCTGGGGTTCTATAGTCTACGTCTTTATTAGTCCTCAGCCATAGCTCTGGATTTGGGTGGGAGCCCGCAGCATAACCCCAGCACAGGGACTGAACTTTAGGCCCTTGTTTAGTGGGAATATGTGCTATGAGGCAGGCCTTGGGCAGCATGCAAAAATGGCCACCCCACATGGCCACTGTTTTTAGCCTCGGACTATTCTCTTTTCAAGTGAGTCAGATGACTGGGGATATATGTATATTACACACATATATATTATATATAACACACACATATATAATATATATAACATATATATTATATACAACATATCTAAAAATATATAAAATTTATTAGAACACATATAAAATACAACATATATA